ACACGTTAAACCTATGCATTCTTTTTTTTTTTTACCTTTACTTTTTTACTCGAGACAAAACATTTTTATACTCTTATCAAAATAACAAAAATTACAAGATAATTTTGAAGTTTTGAATAAGAGTATAAAAATGTTTTGTCTCGAGTAAAAAAGTAAAGGTAAAAAAAAAAAAGAATGCATAGGTTTAACGTGTGTAGTGTACTAGTACTCTGGTAAGTTATACCACCACTTGTAAGTTTGTAACCCAGTGGCAGTGGCCAGTACGAGACACTGCTATACGCTAACGTGCACCTCTCCTCTCTTTTGTCTTGCTTCTTGTAGTTTTGTAATATTTTTTTGTAAGAACATATGAAAATGAGATGGGAAGAAAAAACAGAAAGAGAAAGTAAAAAAAAAAAAAAAAAAGGCTGGAATACGGAAAGAGGCTTGCTTTTGCATTGCCTGATGTGGTGTGATTTGTGATGTTACATTTTTTCTGACAAGTCCTTGTACTTTTGTTTTCTTCCCTTTTTCGTCTATTTAAGTTTCTTTGCTATCACTACGCCCCCTACATTTTTGTGATCTCTTGTCACAAATTATATATACTTTCAAGACTTTTCCAAAGTTGCGTTTTGATGCCATTTCTCGTATAAAAGATGATTCTCCAAACTTTAAACTTTTTTACGATTGCGCTAACATCGTTGAAAATCGTAATTACGTAAAACTGACAATCGGAGTAGTTCACTTTTTTATTTTTATCAACTGCAAATTAATTTTAAAAACGTGACATTTAAAAAAGAAATCCACAAAAACATTTTAATATTTTAGAAACTACTTTTTTATTTTTGGAATGATTTTATAGCTTTAAATTTGAACACACATGGAAGAAAAAAAACACTTAACTTAACTATTTGATTGTGGTAATTGAAACTTATTTTTATTTTGTTTAGTCGAGCCATCAAAATCACACACACATTTTGCAAAGCTACAAAAGAAAACGAAATCAGAACTGAACTAGAGAGAGTAGTTGGACCAAATGGCCGAATTGAGGAGATCAAAAATGACATCACCAGAGAGATGCTATGCAACCAATCTCCCTATTTTTCCTTCTCACGCATTATCAGTGATCATTACGCAATGCTTCTTTGTCTTTTTCCCCTATATATTTCGAAAAAGTTTTATATAAATAATTGATTTATACATTAAATTGTTTTTTAGTTACCATTTATAAATGATAATTAGTAAATGAAGTTAAAAAATATTACCGCTAACTAACGCTAAATTTAATTTACGGTGGATTGTTCGTCGCTGTAAAAATAAAATACACTAAAACATAAAAACTAAAATGCTAGCGATTAGTCCATTTTACCTGCGACATCTATTCAAAACTTTATGAATTTGGTAATTCACAACTACATAAAATTTAATACTTACTACAAGTTGTTTATTTACATAATAGGTTTTCATTAGCAAAAACAAAATCTCGTTGTTCCTGGTTCAAAAAAGCCTACATTATCTTAACATTAAAACACAATCGTTACAAATTTCTGACTTAATTATATTACAATTTTGATGTACAAAAATTTACTAATTTAATTTTTTAACCATCATATAAACAAGCATTAATTAAACCACCACAAAAATGCTATCAATTGTCATCAACCAAATTCTATCATAGTGCAAGTTTTTAGTAGATCAGATTCTAATACTACCATCTAGACCCATTATTTAGAAGCATAATCATCTTTTCTCAATAATTTGCGCCACATAAAATTTTAAAAGTAGTCGAAATTAAAACGTTTATATTTGCCCTTTTCTAGGGTTAAAGTTTGATATATCCCTTTACGAAAAAAAAAAGTTGATGTTTTGTCTCTCTTTATTGGTGTAAAGCATGATGAACCGATTACACCAATAATATATGCTTCTAACATTCTTGTGCTACACATTTGTATATATACAGTAAAACCTCTATAAATTAATATTCGATAAATTAATAATCTCTATAAATTAATAAATTTATCCGGTCCCAAGTTGGGACCAGTGTGATTTTAGACATATTTCGATAAAATAATAAGATAATAATTTTTTTGAAAATCTTTTGTAAATATATGGTCCCATCAATATTATAAATTAATAATTAGGTAAAATTTTCAAAATATATGTATATATAGACACATTAGTTTTTGTTAGATTTTATTTCTAATATTTTACTATATGAAAAATAGGTAGCATTCAATTTTAATACATAATTATTATTATTTTATTTGTAATTGAATATATAAAATACTAATTATCATGATTAAATCTTATTTTTAAATATTGTTTTGAAAATATTTTCCAAATTAGGAATATCTCTCTATAAATTAATAATTATTAATTTATCGATAAATTAATACCTTTATAAATTAATAGATTTTCATGGTTCCAACATTATTAATTTATAGAGGTTTTACTGTATATCTTATTGTGTTCATCCGCCGAACTTGTTCTTTCAACTTTATAATTGAATAAATACTCTTCTTGTGCTAAAAAAATTCGTATGAAAAGAAAGAAAGATATCGAATCTAAGCACATTTGATTCGATAGTTAATGGGAAACAACACTTTTAATTCGATATATATTATTCGATTACCATCATCAGTACTGTCACAACATATATGTGTTGTTTTACGTCACTGTTTTGTGGCTTAGTGACATGTACGTATAAACATAATATGATATGGAATGTTTAATTAAACTGTTCATTAGTGGCATATGCGACGTACATCCTCATAGAATATGAGCTTGGACAACTTGGACATTATTTCTTGATAATGCGGATCCTTGTATAGTAATCGATGTAAAACATTTTACAGAATATAATAAAATTGATTTGATGTCACATTTTGACACATACTGTTTATCTTCTATATATACTTTTCTCATTCGAACGAGTTTGAATGGTTGATGAACATTTTTTTTTTCTAAAATTAAATCTTAGTTTTTAAAAATATTAAAATTTAAAAGCTTTTTAAAACATTTACAAAGACTACTTTAATTTATGAAGGCTTCTTATACATCTTAAATAGAATGATATTTTTAATTCAATCTAGAAGTTCATATCAATGCTTTGATTCGAGCAATTATAACTTTTAAATCGTAAGATATCAACAGACTTTTAGAATGAAATAAAAGACTAAACTTAACATTCATGCATTGTAGTTTTTTAAAAGTTAAATTATAGTTTTTTTAAAAAATACTAAAAGATTTATAAGCTTAATATCAGTATGTAATTTGATTCGAACAATTAAAACTTTAAAATCTTGAGATATCCAAAAACTTTTGTAATGAAATAAAAAGACTAGACATAACATTCATGCATGGTAGCTTTTTTACAAATAAAAAAAAACTAAACAAAACATTCATGGTAACAAGAGATTCACATCTCTCATACACTCACACTCACAAAACAAACTAAAGATAAAGGGAGAGAAGAAAAAGCTTAAAAGCTACTGTTATAGTTAAGTAAACAAAAAAGAAAAGAAAGATTTGCTTATAAAAATCAACAAAAACCACATCGACTTGAAATTGTTTTATAGAACTGCGTGAAGAAAAGAACTCACCCCACAAGCAACCCTCAAGTTTTTTTGGCTTTGGAAAACTGAATTTAAAAAAAAAAACATTTCAAAGTAAAGAAAAGTACATGCAAAAAAGTAAAGGTTAAAGTAAAAGTGTAAAAGTTAAAAAAATAAAACAAAAAAGAGGGCGGCAAATCTTCGTCGGAGTGCGTTTATTCTTTCTGCGATTTCCCCATTGATGATCATGTGTGTGTGGACGACCTCCTCATATTTGATATTACCAATAACAAATCTTTGTGTTATATAGTGTAGACCAAAACGAACGACCAGTTTATGAACATAACCATGTATACGATCGAGTACAATTTTTCTTCTTTCAAATGTACGTGAAAATCAAATAACATTGTTAATTTGTTTTTCTAAAAATTAGTTAGAAAAATGAAATATATGTGTATATATATATATATATATATTTATATAGTATTATAAAAAAGAACGACCCTTTTGGCACTTTATAAACATAACCATGTATATATAATTTTTCTTCTTTCAAAATGTGTAAGAAAAAAAAATTTGACAAAAAAAAAGGTGTGAAAACCAAAATAACATTGTTAAGTTGTTTTTCTAAAAAAAAATTAAAGTAAATCGCTAATGAAAAATATATTAGTTAGAGAAATAAAATATGTGTATATATAATTATGTGTATATATATATATATAAATTTTATTTTTTTGGTATTTATAAAAATTTATATGCCTTATGACCACTAATATACAAACATATGTACTTTTATAAGATTAATTATACTTCTTAACAATCAAAAAGTACAGTATATTATTTCCTTAAATATACTTTTGAAAAGTATTTAGTGTATTCCATTTTTGTAAAATCGAGAGGTGGGCCTAAATCTTATTGGGAAAGAAGAAGAGCTGAAAATATTAATCATAGTGAGCTTATATGTTGGTATGTTATTCTCATGCCGAAAATTTTAACAATACAATCCTATATTTTACGTATACGTGAAGAAGATAAGAGGTTGAAAAAGCCTCTGGGCTTATTACACTAAGCTCGAAAGCCCAAACCGTTATCACCAATTCAAACCAAATTTAAGACTTTTTTTTCTAATAAAACACTGAAGTTGTGGCATGGAGAATGTCTTCTTGACCCGTTGAAGATGTCTTGAAGATATCAAAATGTCTCTCATTGGTAGTCCCTAGACAAAAGAATCATAACATTAATTAAAGATCAACATGACCATATTGTTTTTATGTAACGTGACAAAAGAAAAACAATTAATTAGACCATAAGGAGTTCACATGAATTAGACCATACTGTTCTCTCTTCTTCATTATTTCTTTAACTTTGGTCTTAATGTGAAAAACTCTTATTCATTGTTCTCTCAGTTCAAATCTTTATCTGATCAATCTCTCTTTCTCACGTAATTTTCAAAATGGTTGATCAAAAGAAGTACCTATTGTTTCTGGCGACGCCTGACTCGGAGTTTGCAAAGAAGACGTACGGTGGATACCGTAATGTGTTTGTTTCTTTGCTAGGAGATGAAGGAGAGCAATGGGACTCATTCAGAGTCGTCGACGGCGAGTTTCCCGACGAGAAGGATCTTGAGAAGTACGACGGGTTTGTCATCAGTGGAAGCTCTCATGATGCCTTTCAGGACACTGATTGGATCTTGAAGCTCTGTGATATCATCAATATACTCGATGACATGAACAAGAAAGTTCTTGGTATTTGCTTTGGCCACCAGGTATATAATTCCTCACATTTAATTATGTTCAAGTTAGGATTAAAAACATATTCAACCATACCATTCTAGGGTTATAGAAATGATAAACTAAAAAGTCCTCACAATTTATAACTTTATCTACATTTAGAGTACTGCATGTATTCATTTTCATATTCATAGTTTGAAACTTTTGATTAATTAACCTAATTTGAAAATGAAATCTATGCGTTTTTACGTTAATTTGGAGCTATGTTAAAATGATTTTTTTTAATCTGTATCTAAATAATTAGATAGCTCTAATTCTTTGAATGGTTAATTCAAATGATTATATATATATATATATATCGTGATTGGATTACTTAAAGGCGTAGGGATATAATCATATATATATGAGTAAAACAATTAGCTAGCTTCTTTGAATGGTTCAAACGTGTACACAAATGATCATGCATTATTTTTTTCTACGAATAATCAATTAAATAGCTCTTTGAGTGGTCTTTATTCTACCTAACAGTGGACAATTTGATATAGCTAGGGAGTTCACTATTTATAATTTACAATTATTTGGACAATATAATGTCTAGCTAATAGCTAGAGCGAAGGGAGGCAAAGTAGGGAGAGCAAGGAAAGGACCGGAGCTTTGTCTTGGGAACATAACCATCGTGAAAGAGGCAGTAACGCCGGAAAATTACTTCGGCGAAGAAATTCCGGCGAATCTAAGGGTCATAAAATGCCATCAGGATGAAGTGTTGGAGCTGCCGGATAGTGCAAAATTGTTAGCCTACTCAAGCATGTACGAGGTAGAGATGTATTCAATCAAAGATAACATCCTATGCATCCAGGGACATCCTGAGTACAACCGTGACATCTTGTTCGATATTATCGATCGTGTTCTTGCCGGAGGCTACATTAAGGTTTTCATATCTTTCCCATTACAGAATATACTTTTATAAAATAATATTCGATAAATTAATACATCTATAAGTTAAATATATAGAAGTTTTACTATATGTATAACCGACACGAAATATATAACGTGACTATTTATAACCGACACGAAACGTTTCTAGATACTACAAAACAAACATCTGCTAGATTTTTATCCATTTTGTTTTTCTTTTTGGTGCAACTTTGTCTTAAACAACTTGCTGTGAACCTAATGAAATCAACTAGGTTGAATATTATATATTTTGGTGGTCATATTCTAACCCTTAATACATACAGAAAGACTTTGCGGAAACGGCAAAGGAGACAATGGAAAAGAATGAAGCCGACAGGGAGCTTTGGCAGAAAATTTGCAAAAACTTCCTCAAAGGGCAACCCTACTTATTAGTTTGATTCACAAATTTTTAATCCCATTTGTATTACACAATATTATTATATGGGTATTATAGTATACCCTTGGGTTAAACTTCAATATTCCAACTTTGTTTCAAAAAAAATAATTTAATATTCCAACTCTATGTATCCACTCTATATTAATGATTTGTTTGAAATGTGTGACATGTTGATGTGTTTGTATTGTACCCATAAGAATCAAGTAAAAAGCTTTGTCCTGATCACTAGCCCAAAAGCTTCTTTAATACATATAATGCCAAAGGTCGCTTCCATTACCAATAATAGTTTTACCTAACACTAACGAACCTAAGTTACGTGAAGATTGACTTTTTAAAATCGAGAGATTCTATAAAAGATTGATAGATTTAACAAATGTTTTGTTGTTGTTGTCAAGGTTTAAAGTTTTTTGTCAACTCTTGTTGGTCTTACGACAAGCAAAACACGTCCGCGACGGCTTCTTGATCTCCTCGAGGAACTTCGCACTTAACGAAACCTACTAATTAAAGAATATATGTACACTTTTGTATACATCAAATTTATCTTTTATTCGTTTTCATGTTTGGTACATTAAAATTTATGGGTCTTCGTTACAAGAATAATTTTTTTTTAAAAAACTTTAAAATAAGTATTTTTTCTAAACATGTCATTATCAGTTTTATCTCGAAAATATCAAAAAAAAATTAAAAAAAAAAATTTATCACAAAAACAAAACTATTTTTAGCTATCAAAATTAATTTCTAAACCCTAAACACTAAATCATATCTCTAAAAACTATAACTTTAATATAATTAGTCAATCTAACCATAAAAAAGAAACACCTTCAAAAATCATTTTTTTGTATGTTTATGGTATTTTTGGAAAAATAGGGAGATTTGCACAACTAACCTTTTTATGATACCCTTTTCTACAAGTACCCTCTCTAGGTGTCCATTTTCAAAAATACCCTCTTCAATGTACAAAATTACTAAATTACCCTCATTTATTATAACCCATGATGAAGAAATGAATATTCTTTCCAGCAAGAAGAACATTCCTTCCGAAAAATTTCCCGCCAAATTTTCCCGCCAAAAGTTTCCCGCCAAATTTTCCCGCCAAAAATTTTCGGCAAAAATTTTCCCGCCAAAAAAAAATTTCCCCCCAAAAATTTTTCCGCAATTCCTTAAAAAAACCTTGTAAATATTTATAAATCCTTTAAAAATCCTTTAAAAACCCTTGTAAATCTTTTAAAAGTCATCCAAAACCTTTCAAAACTTGAGTAAACCTTTTAAAACCATTGTAAATCATTTTATAACATTTATAAACACTTGTAAATCCCTTTAAACCCCTTATAACCGTGATAAATCATTTAATAAAAACTTTTGTAAACTTCTAAAACCCTTTAAAAACCCTTGTAAATCCTTAAAAATCATTTTAAAGAACTTGTAATACCTTTAAAAACTTTTGTAAACCGTTCAAAAACCTTTGTAAACTTCTAAAACCCTTTAAAACTTCT